GGGTGGCTCTGGGCCAGGGAGGCTTGGTGAGGCTGTGTTCTGCCATCTCGTCCTGCTGCTGTGGCGTTCCAGCTTCTCGAGCTGCTAAGAGCTTCTAAGCCCTCCTGGTCCACAAGAACGACAATCCAGAACATGTATTTGCACAGTATTAGGGGATGAGTGCCCACCTGGTGCAGCCAGCCTGCTCCCGCCCTTGTGAGAGGGGCTCTTCCCTTCCCGGGACGGTGAAAGATACCCTGGAGACTGGCCAAGGGTACATGTCAGTCTCACCCAGAGTCTGCAGGACCCAGCTCTGCATGTGGTATCTGGGACTCTGGCACCTCCCCCGTTTCCTTCCTAGGCAGACCAGAGTTCTGCATGCTTGTGTCAGACACCACGTGCAGGAGTGACCATTCAGGGGCCCTGGGGGTTCGGATCATGGACTCCTGGGAGTCTCTGTCCTGTGGCAGCCTCTGACGTTCCAAAGGCTGAGTCTTGCTGCTTGCAGCCACTGGAAGAGGTGCTGTGCTGTGCTGTGCTCCCACCCCTCAACCCCGCCATAATGTGGGGCTGGGGGCTGGAAGCACAGGAAAGATTCTTTGGGCCCCAGAGTTTGGCCAGAGCAGTAACGCAGCAGCAGTTAAGGAAGGCAGTGTCCTGAGAGAAGAGGAAGGCTTGTGGAAGTGTGAGTGTGTGAGGGGGGTGGTGGGAAGGAAAAGATCTGGAGATGCTGTGGAAAGGGGACAGAAACAGGAAAGTTGCAAGGACCACAGACTTTGACTGCAGGCCTTTCCCAGGTCTGCGTTGGCCACCGTCTTCCCCTCCTGGGCTCTGCCCCAGGAAGCAGCAGCTCTTGCCTGGGTGTTCACCAAGTGCAGCCATGCCACATCTGGAGCCGACAGGCAGGAGCAGTACTCCTGACACCCTTCCTTCCTCCCTCCCTCCACCCACCACCCATTCTCAGCCTCTTTCCCAGGTGGCCAGGGGCAGCCCCGCCAGCTGCCAGGCAGGGCTGGTCCCAACAAGGGGAAGGAGGCCCCGTGCTCAGCGAGGTGCTGGGCACTCTGGCCCCTGGGAATATTTAGCCACGTGCAAATTAGTTCATGTGTGCTCTCTCTAGTGCTCTTTGGGCTGCTTAAAGCGCCACAGTCCACATGGTGTAGATCTCCTGAGCCCTGCAGGTGCCTCCCTGGCTGGGCAGCACGGCAGGTACCTGGCCAGCCCAACCCCGGCCCCAGAATCTATATTGGTTCAAAGGCTCCTCCTGAGCTCCCAAGGACCAATGGAAAGGGCCCTGCCTTATTCTCACTCATATGAGATCCAGGAGGCCTCAAGTTTGATTCCAGCTCTGCCCTGAATTGTACCTTCTTTTTTGGCCCCGTTTCCATGTCTCTTCTGTGAAAAGTTGTACCACATGGTGATTCGTGAATGTGAATCGAGGAGGAAAGCTCTCCCTCTGAAGATGCTTGGGGGTCAGGTTGTCATCTATGCCCCCAGAATGCTTTCTTGTTTGAGCTTCTGGGCTCTATGTGGGTTTGGCTTGGCTGTCTCGAAAAGTCAGAATTCTGGGTCAGTGTCCCTGTGTTGAGCTGTACCTTGAGTATGGGGCAGGATGACTGTGCAGCTATGGGGAGCATTGCTTTTTCTAAAAGTTTCCGTGTATCTGGAAAACCTCAGCAGCTTTACTTGGGCCTGCCCTCCACAGAATAGGGGAACCTGGCTTCCCCAAGGGATGGGGGGTTGTGGTAGGGAGAGTGTTTGGCTTGCAAGTATGAAATCTGGTTCCCCCAGCAGTGTGCTCTGAACTAATCACTTTGCTTTTAGGAGCTTCAGTTTCTGTATGTGTAAAGTGGGGATTAAGAATGTCTCCCTGACAGGGTCATTTTTAAGATTAAATGGCATACTGGATGTGAAAGCACTTGATAGACTGTTCATAATATAAGTATTATGCTAACATCCAGCATTAATTGAATTCCTCTTTTGTGCCAGGCAACTGGGTGAGTTCCAAAGGTCTGTTCAACATGTTTCTTGTCCTTGGAAACTCACATGTTATCGAAGAAGACAGACATGTCAGTACACATAATGATAATGTAGAGTAAGGAGTGTAAGAGTCAAAGCATGTCCAAAATGCTAGAGAAGCCATGTGCCTATTATTGCATGGTCTGCTCCTGCTCACCTGTTTTCTGCCCAGCAGACAGCTTGATCTTTCTGAAACAAAAATCTCATTGTAGAATCTTGATTGAAGTCATCCTGAAGCTTGCCGTGCTTTGGGATCAAGTCTGAATTTGTTTATGTGGTTTATAAGGTCCTGCATGACTTAGCTCCTGACTGTCTTTCTTGCCTCATTTCTCACACTGTGTGCTTGATCCATGTTAAATTTACTTCGATTCACTGTACAAGCCATCCTCCCTTGCCTTTGGCCTTTACATGTGCTCTTGCTTGTGCCTGGATGCACTCTGACATCGCCCTCCAGGAAGCCTCCTCTGGCCCACACTCAGCAGGCCCCTGAGTAGCTAAGTGTGCTCCTCTGGCAACTTGTGCCATGCATGAGTGTATTGAGACTGCCTCCTCCCACCAGACTTGCTATGATGGCAAGGATTTTGAGCCAGTCTTGGGGATAAAGTGGAGGCTGTCTCTTCCTAGTGCTGTGATTCTGGCAATTTATATTTCAGCTCTTATGGTTTCTGATTGCCCATCTTTACATTGTTTTATCATGAAGGGTAAAGAAAAAGGTAGTTGCAGTAGAAGAGATTAGGGGTGGGGGCAGGGTTGTTTCTGGCTGCAGAGACACCCGGTACAACTGCCAGTTCCATGATTGTCCACTGAGTCAGGAGATGGGCTGGGCCTGGAGGAGGACGCGGCATGGAGACCAGAACGAGAAGGCTGCCTATGACCAAAATATGCAGAAATGACCTAGGACTGGAGACCCTGTGTCCTTGTCTCAGGACATTTCCAGTCACCCTGAAAAGTGAGCATGATGAGATGCCGTTGTTAGAAGCAAATCAGTATCAAGGTCTGTTCAGCCTCACTGGGTCCTAAATCCGTCTCTGCAGCCACTGCAAGCCTTCTGTGTGCGTGCTGCATCTGAGTCACTGGGAGGTCGAGGTGAGTGGAGCAGACAGTTGAGGGTGCAAGTGCAGAAAGCTGTATCCAGGCTTACTGTGCTGAGAGATCGGTGCTGAGGGAGGGGTATCTCCAGCCAGAGGGACTCAGACGTCTGCAGGCGGAGGTGACATTTGATGATGGGTAGGTGAGGTTTGGATAACTGAGAAGAGAAGGAAGGGCATTTCAGTAAGAAAACCCAGGCATTTACCAGGAATGGTAGAGGTGGTTTGGCCAGAGTTCAGAGAGCATGGAGCCATACCTGCCGAGTGTAGGTGCCTCAGGCATGCAGTATCATTGCAAGACTGTGAGAGGGGAGTGAATTGACCAGGGCTGCAGTTTAAGAAGGTGACTGTGGTGGTGGTATAGAGGATGAGATGGAAGGAAGAGAGATTAAAGATGGAAAACCATTACAGTGAATCAGTGAGGAGTGAGGAGTCCAGGCACATGGTCATCAGGACTTCTGAAGCTGAGGAGTGGCAAAAAGAATGAATGGTGACAGATGACTTCCGGTGAACTCTATGAGGACAGGACCATGAAGACAGATTTCTAGCCCAGAGCCAGGCACAGGGTAGGTGTCTGTCTTGCCAATGGGTTTCAGTTCCGGACAGGTTCAACTATGGATTCAGTGAGACTAAGGAATGAAAGTGAAATGTTCTTAGGGTAAAAGGGTTATTCCCAACTTTGTTCCCACGGTGGCAGGTCAATCACTAGAATCCCATCCACTCAAAGCAAGCCAGTCTCTGCCTCTGGGCCTCTGCCCCTCAGCCATCTCAGTCTCTGTCCTCAGTGCTGCCACCACTCCAGCCTCTGCTGTCCTGCAGCTGTGTGGTCATTCCACCATGTCACTCAGAACACTGGGCAGAGCTCTTTTTATAGAGTCAATAGCAACATATTGCCCGCATGTGTGAAGTGAGCAAGCCGACCAGGGCCAGGTAAGAATCCTGGCCACAGAAACCTTCAGTTTCTCCACAGTGTCCAATAAGTACTTTTTGAGAGAATAAATGGGAAGTTACTATGAAGGAAGAACAACCAGGGAAAACCCAGGGGGCCTGAGGTTAGGAGCCTGGGAACTTGGAGGAGAATGTGCAACCCAGAAAGAGGAGCAGTTGGTTTTGTACATCAAGTGCCTTGGAAGTGTGCTCACATCAGCCCCAGCCCTTGGGTATGGGGCCCGGGTGGCTGTCTCCATACCTTCTGGGGATGGTGGGATTCAAGTTTCTGTGCTCTGGGCCTGCTGCTCCGTGTTCTGAAGGGTTCCAGCCTTTTGGCTACTATTTCCATCTTAGACATCATGCCTGGGGAAACCTATCAACAACTCTGTCTCATGTTAATAATAACTGATGTTTATTGAGCACTTCCTGTGTGCTTTTCCATCTCAGTTGATTTTACAACATTCTGAGAGTTAGGTCCTATTTGCCATCTCAGTTTTTCATTTGGGGAAACTAAAGTTCACGCAGCTGTTAAGGGATGGTTTTGAACCCCAGACAGCTGGCTCTCAAGCACTCCATCTTAACTGACCCTGCATCTCTGTGAGGATGAACCAGCCAGCCACTTCTCACATAGGGAAGAAGTCATGTGGAGGTGTAAGGTGCCTCTAGCATGTACTTGGTTGGGGTTGAAGAGCAGCTTCCATATGACATCCAAGGATTGGAAGGGACCTTGGAGATATCTGGTTTACTTTATAGAAGAGGAACTGGGGCTCAGAGCATTTGCAAGGCTGCTCTGAGTGACATGGCTGATGGAATTTGAATGACTTGCCATTGTGTGATGGGCTAACATGGGTGTTCCGGTGCCCATGGGAGCTGGATTGTCTTGGGCAGGTGGGAACCTCACTCTGTTCTCCTCCAGCCAGACTTGAGCTGAAATGACCTTCCTCAGCCTTGGCCTCACTTTTCTTCCCCTCATCCTTCCCCCAGATTGACAAGTATCTCTATGCCATGAGGCTCTCCGATGAAACTCTGATAGATATCATGACTCGTTTCAAGAAGGAAATGAAGAATGGCCTCTCCCGGGATTTTAACCCAACAGCCACGGTGAAGATGTTACCAACATTTGTAAGGTCCATTCCTGATGGTTCAGGTGAGTCTCATACCCTGAGATTGGTTTCTGAGGGCCAAATGCTCTGTGAAAACATCCTTCCAACTTTGATTCCTTTGTTCATTCATTCAGGTGCTCATTCATTCATTCACCTTTTCACCATTTGTCTTCCATCCATCCATCCATTCATCCAACATATGTCTACTGAGTATTCACCAGGTGGCAGCACTGGGGATACTGTGTAGGCAAGGCTGACCTACCCCCACTGGCCTGCCGGTCTGGTGGCTTGTGGTAAGAAAGGGTAGTGTTCATGGATCTTACAGATGCCGTGTGGGTTGCTCCTCTGTCTCCGGAACATGAAAGGCTCCAGAACAAATGAAGAATTCATTTTAGGGGAATCTGTCAGGGCACCAATGCCTCCCTTCAGATAAGTAGCAATCCTGGTGGCCAGGCGGGTCTCAGACTCAGATGGGAGATTCAGGTCCCCATCTGAACACATTTCACAGGTGCTAAATCAAGGTAGCTCCCAAAGCAGAGAAATGGTGAGGGGAGATAGAATTGAGGAAAAAAATATTAATCTGTTGTTGTGTATTTGTGTGGCTCATGCCCCAAAAGGGAGCATTGGAGGGCTTCCTGAGGATTGTTTGTACCCCCTCCCAGAGGAGTGGGCTCAGCTCCTGCACTTGGTGAAATGGAGGTTGAGCGGGCACAGCATGACGTGCCCTGGCGAGGCTGTTCTGTTCAACCAGTTAGTAGCTTGCAGGGCGTGGCGCTGTGTCTGCCCTAGCTTGGCATACTCACAGGAATCCTGCTCTGAGCTGTGTTCTGTGCTCCAGGCACCAGCATACGCAAGACAGGGAGAGGGGATGAGAAAGGCCCTTCTCTTGGGCTTGTAAGCTGACACTGTGAGTAGGGCCTCACACACTCCTGCTATTTCTGCCCTGCTCTGGAGACTGTTTAAAGCTGTAGTTTGGGGTGCCTACAAAATGGACGTTAGGAAAATTGCATCTATTGCAGTTGATGGTCACAGAAAAGGGGTGAGTGCACAGCTTGTTGTTAGACTGGCCCAGTGGGAAGGTCCTTCTGTGCTGGCCTTTTTGTCGTGAGTGAGATTCAGATGCTAATGAAGGGCAGGTGCTCTGTTTGCTTGTGGCCACAGGTGGGGTTTGCTTCATGCACGCACATTGGCATTTCTGTCTCTGATGTTTCTTGACTATTTAAAATCTACTCCACCTCCATCCTTTTGTTTCCCTTGGGGTCTTGGTTACCAGCGGTTTAGCTTTTTAGTAACTACCAAGAGATGCTGGCTGTCAGAGTGACTGGACTGTGGTGTGCCCTGGGTTTTGTTCTGATGTCTCTGACCTTGTCTTTCACTCCTTCTTTTTCCCAGCTCAGGGTGGCACCCCCATCCAGGAACATTTGGGCCTTTCTCAGGATGAGTGGAGTTCTGTGGGAGAGGTGTGGCTGTGCCTGCTTCCAGCTGAGAGAAGAGGAGTGGGGAGGGGGGCGTGGGCAGCTCCCGGAAGACCCTTGCTCTGCCTTTGCTTGGGAGAGCTCATTAGGATACCCTATGCCACCAGGGCACCTGGTCCTGTGTGACTGGCCCAGGCTAACAGCCGTGGAGGACATGCCTCCCTTTCCTCCTGAACCCTACGCTCAGGCCAGCCGCCTTCGCAGGCCCCTGTGTCAGCAGGTGGTGCTCTCCCGCATGCTTTCACAAACCCTTTCCAGGGTTGAGGGTCTCAAAGTGTGATCCAAGGACACTAGGAATTTAGCCATTTGCCTCATCAGCAACTGTTCAAAACATGCCCCAGAAATCAGACTCATTTGGGAAAAATGACTTTCTACAGCCCCTGTTTAGAGATAGGTAACAGACACCAAGATACTACAGACATTGGGTAATCTTGCAAGAAAGAAACCTATTAAACCTGGCTTTCCTGCCTTTTCCCTAAACCCATTTGATCTTTTTCCCTGTTTCATCTATTTGAGACACTTTTCTATTCAAGTATCTCTGCAGTTAGCAATGCACTATACAATAATTGCATCTTAAAATTAGTATTGGCAGCATTTTTTCTCCACATTATATAAAATGATGATATGTCCCATAATCAGTTGTGTCTTAAGTGTGGTGGCCTATGTGGTAATACACCTGTGCTGGGAGCACTGTCCTAGGGCTTGTGGAATGGCAGCCAGCAGCCTGGGCCCCGTATTTCCTTCTGTATGTGCACAGGGCCTAATGTTTAGGGCCTCAGGAGTGCAGAGCGTTGTTGGGAACGGGGAGGAAGAGGAGGTGAAACCAGAGCCCTAAAGCAGGAGGACCCACCCTTCTGTGCAGAGGGCCTGTTGCGCCCACCTGCTCTCAGTGCCCTTCCCCTCCTTGCCCACCCCTGCGCTCCCTGCATCCCTGGAACCGTATTGGTTTCCAAGGCTGCCATAACAAGTACCACAACCTGGGTGGCCTTAAACAACAAGAATATTGTCTCACAGTTCTGGCAGCGAGAAGTCTGAAGTCAAGGGGCAGCAGTGCCATGCCCCCTTGGAGAGTCTGGGCACACCCCTGCCTTGCCTCCTCCAGCCCCCAGTGACGGCCTTCAGTCTTACTGTTTCTTGGCTTGCCGCTGCGCCCCCTGGTCTCGGCCTGTCGTCACATGGCATTCTCCCTGTGTGTCTGTGTCCTTACATGGCATTTTCCTCTTCTAAAGATACCAGCCAGATTAGGACCCACATTAATGACTTCATCTTATCTGATTGTATCTGCTAAGACCCTGTTTCCAAATAAGGTCACATTTACAGGTACTAAGGGTTAGGGCCTCAGCATTTAGCAGGGGCCAAAGGTTAGGTTGCATTTTGGGGGTTACATAGTGCAACCACAACACACTCTCTAGCCTTTCTCCCTGTGGCTGTTCCTAATATTCACGAGTGGGCCCAGTTCATGTGCCCTGGAGCCCACAATACCCTTGGATTGGCCCCTTCAGCCCCACACAGACATTGACATTGACACCAAGGCCTCAGATACCTCACCCCAGTTCAGTCCCTACCCCTAGTGCTGTAAGTTCTCCTCCCTGCACTCCTTTATCAACCAGGAATCCAGATGGCCTCTGGAGTACTCAGAATTCGGGTCTTCTTCCTAGTAAACAGAGGTACTGTTCCCTTTTTAAATGTTAATCACTGCTTCATCTGTATAATTAGTCAGTGACAGAATTAGTGGTAATCCCCAACCACCCAGGATATATTGCTCTGTTGGGGAGAGATGCCCCCCGCAGGTAGGTGGTGATGTGATTTACAAGTCAAAGGAAGAAACGAACCTTTTCTTTCCCACTGACCTTGACTGTGGTGGGCTGCACTCAGTTTGGACACTACTAATTTTTCAGAAATATATCAGCTTATTTCCATTAACTTTTTCCTCTTTGGACATTTTTTATGGGCAGTGGTTTTTCTTTAATTGCTCTTCAGTAATTATATGTTATTATTATTTTTTTAACCCTGAAGTGACTTTAAGTTGCTGCATGTCCATTTTTTAGTAAGAAAGTATGAATAAAAATAAAAAATATATATAGAAGCATTTTCACTGTGGTGTTTTGGCTAAATAAACAGACGTCCCTTTTCAAAGCTGCCCAGTCTCCAGGGATAGCTGCTCCCCTTGCCCCCCAGCCAGCCTCCTTTGGAAGACCTGGCTTTCTGTGTCTCATTTGTGAAACCTCCCCTTTTTTCTCCTCACTAAGGATATTGGAAATGCCAATTAGGTTGTAAGCCTTTTGAGAGTAGATAGAGTTGAATATTTCCTTGTTTCTGCTTCATGGTTCCCAGCACACATTTTACCCAAAGGATAAGTTAGTACATATTTGATTTGCATTGTGGTCGCAGTTATTTTGGGGGTCCCCAAATATAGGTAGGACTACTTCCCAGCTAAAGGAAGGAAAATGTTTCCTTTCCTTTCCCACCACATTTGGGTGGCCACTTGCACCTTCTCTATCTCAATTTCCTTATCTAGGAAGATGGTTAGACTATTTCTAAAATTCTGTCCTTCTGGAATTTACTGTGTCTAGTGTTCCAGCTGGGTTTTGACAGAGGTGTAAGAACTCTGATTGGGTAGCTGATTGTGGACAGGAGGGAGAGCCTTTGTATCTCACGTACAGAGTTCATTCATTGAGCAGGGCAAAGGCAGGCATTCCATGAAAGCGGAATTTTTGTTTGCCCTCCATTCCAGTGCAGGTCTGGACTTAACAGAGAGCATCTGTCCCTGTGTTTGTTTTCCATTATTTGCTGGTCATAATGGCTGTCATTAGAAGGTGTTCTTCAGGTATTTTGTTCAATGAGCCTTCTCTAGAAGAGCAGTTCTCCTGGCTTCAGTGGAAATGGGAAACATGGGAAGAAGCCGCAAGCAGGGGCACCAGCGGCAGAAAGGTTGAGGCTAAAGATTTGAAGAGGAAGTCAGACATGCCCACTGCTGCAGAATGAGGCTGAACTTGAAATTAAAGGGGAAAAAAGTAAAAACCTAGAATGTTGGATTAGTCAACTGCTCTGCTGCTTGTTATGAGTGCGACCTTTGGAGAAGTTGCTTAACTTCTCCAAAGCTCCATTTTCTCATCTGTAAAACGGGCGTGATGATTCTTGCCCTACCTGCCAAGAGGATCAAATGAAAGTGCTTTGGAAACTGCAAACCACTCTAAGAGTTACAGTGGGTCATTGTGTTCCTCATCACTATTGTAATTTAATAACTTTGTAAGAATTCCTGGGAAGGCTCTTCCCAACTGATGTGGCCAGTCAGAGGACCCCCCACACCACTGCTCACCAGGCCTAAATGTATAGTTCTAGCCCTGGAGACAAGATTAAGAGTTTTTCAGAATTCCCTGGCATCTCTGTGATTTTAGAGGGGGAAGAGGTGGAATAAAGGGGGAAGCAAAGTCAGGCTGTTCCACCTGCACTCCAACTCCCATCAAAGAGTGGATTAGCCCACAGAATGCAGCTCTGGTGCCTCGGCAGTGGAGTTACTGGATGTCATGGCTCTGAATTGGGGAATGACTTAAGATAAAAGGGGGTGA